CCTTTCTCTTTGCAATGCATAGTACTATCTACACCTAGACCTGTGACGTCGTCTGTACTTCCTTACTCCTAATTTCATTTCTACATAGTTTAATGAAGCTTAAGAAGCTTCCCACGCACGCACACACTCTACTATTTTAATTATATAAATTGAGCTAATAGAAGGTGTCGGTTAGAAAACGTTATGTATATGTGAAATATTTCTAAAAATAAATCACAGAAAGTCTCGAAAAGCCAAATATGCACTATAGCCGTCCCTAATTTTGAAGTAATAGACTAGAAAGCAGGCCGATAATCATCACTACCTACAGCCAACTGTTGTCAGACCGAAATGTGTGATTTGATTGCCACTTTTAGAACGCACTCACGGCTCCAAAGTGAGGAGCGAGATTTTTGTTTAGCATTAACGAGACACGAACGACGGAACCCCAGCATGTAGTCCGGCACACTGATCATTTGGCCTTGCTCGCCACACAAATTAATTATTTCTTGCTATAACCTTTCTGAACACAGACTATTTCCATATGTTCATTGTTTTTCACTGGCTTTGTTTGATGTGATGATGATATTGAAGCGAAACCTAATTGACTGATGACTATCCTCTCCAAAATATTTCATGTACGTGAAAATGTTTTTATAGAAAACATTACCACAAACTTAAACAAAAATGTAGTCACGCCATTTCTTTGTACTGCACATACCTGTATTGACAATGGTCATACTTGATGATCACACGAATGTTTAAAATACATTTTCTGTAGATTTTTGTCCACATATTTTTATTGAAAGATATATAGTAAAAGCTTGAGTTTTTTTTAAGATTAATAATTGGAGGATTAGGCCAAAAAAAAACCCATCAGTATTACTAGGTTAAGCAAGACTATGAAGCTGATATATATATGACGATGTATGTGATTTGTTAAACGGTATTTGTTTAACACTTACACATAGATATCCAACAAAAATGCAGGGCCTAATACAAACTCCCTCAAAATTACTGAAGGGGATTAGATTCCCCACACTACTCTAACCGCAAAGATTGTGTCGACCAAAAAATAAACAAAATAATTAACTAACTTCTTTCTACCACTAAAAAGGTTATGAAAAACTTGAGGGGTCCTCTAAGTCTTTAGTGTGTAGAAAGGTAGATAATTTAAGAAAAACAAATTAAAAACAATGTTAACAAGAATTTTGTATTGCAAGTCGGTAATACAAACCAGACTGAACAGATTAAAACTTTTTAGTTTTTGCCCATTAGCAACAAGTTAGTACTTTTTTATTCTTTGTTATAAGTTCACAAAATGGACAAACCAAGTGTAAAGGATTATCAAGTGATAAATCAAAGCAATTAACAAAAATAAATCAAGGTGTTTTTGCCACTTTATTACTTTATGTCAAATACAAAATGTAGAAATACTAACGAAAAGTAGTTTGCATTATGAAGAGAGAAAACCTTTTTAATCTTGTTGTTATCGAAAAAGTTTTTGCTTAGAGAACTTGACTATTGAAGTAATCTGCGAACAGTAACAAATGACTTCAAATAAAGATGCTAAATAATTTAAAACATAATTGTAAAAAAAAAGAAAATGTGTTCGAGAGGCTTTAGTATACCGTTTAGTTCACTAATTAATTGGTAATTTACTGAACCTCTTTGTTGTAAACAACTTGGAAATTTGTCAACTTTTTCTAGTACTTTAAATATATCCTAAATAAATGCTTACCTAATGTGCAGTACAAGAGTGGAAGAAATAACTTAATAAAATATACATTTATGCAGGAAAGATTACGATAAAACACAATATTCGTGTTTAATAACAATCAGTAAAACTGTGGTTTTAATTTACATCCTGAGTATTGAGCTGTCCAACATGATACAGATAATGAATATCAAGCAGAAAGAAGCTAATCAAAAATGATTCATACACTTATGCAAATTAAAAATAAGATACGTATGCATTCTCACAGTGAGAATTATTATTTATTAAAATTTATACAAATGAAGGTGTTTACGATATTTGGTGACACTTAATACGTTGACGAAGAACTGCTGGAGTTTTTACTTGTTTTTCTTTTTTACATTTACCCATGCACGTATATCATCTAAAGTAACGTTTCCGCTGGGGAGTTGAGGGAGCAACTTCAAATCAAACGCACGTGACGGAGAGTAACAGTTACAAATATAAATGAAAGGGAAAGGGGTAAGAACTTATACCCAAGTAGGCCCGGCATGGTAGTTAGGGCGCTCGACTCGTAATCTGAGGGTTGCGGATTCGAATCCCCGTCCCATCAAACATGCTCGCCCTTTCAGCCGTGGGGTCGTTATAATGTGACGGTCAATCCCACTATTCGTTGGTAAAAGAATACCCCAAGAGTTGGCGGCTGGTGGTGATGACTAGCTGTCTTCCCTCTAGTCTTTCACTGCTAAATTATAGACGGCTAGTACAGATAGCCCTCGTGTAGCTTTGCGCGAAATTCAAAAACAAACAAACAAATAAACCAAGTTCCCATGTCGTCATCGTATAATCAGCATGCAACCTACAGTACAAAGGCACATTTGAATGCATTTTTAGAAGTTCATAATAATTCATAAATCATATTTTTACGTGAATCGTATCCATCGACAAAAATTTCTCTGTATCCGTCTGCTAAGTTGAGTTTTGTTTTATATTTCAATGCAAAAAACGTAAAAAAAGCAACGAATAAAGACATACCTGTTCATCTTTTGTTGATTTTTGAACGTTCTTGAAAAGCTTTCTTTTGATTTGATTTGAGCAAAATATATGTATGTATATATATATATATATATATTAGCAAACAAAACTTAATAATATACAATATATCAAAAGCACGAAATAAAACGTCTACAGGTTTCGATAAACATTTAGAACTGCCGCTGACTTTTCAAATACCTAGAATGCTTTAAGTCAGACAAGTTATATTGACTTTATTACATTGACAGCCTGGCAACACTCCCTCTGATTAAGTAAGTTTTAAGTACTAAAAGGAATATGTTTTATAATCGCGTCAACAACCCTCAATAAAATTAATTTCCAAATCATAATTGACAGTATTTTCATTTCTTTCTTGTTTTCCTCATTTTATTGGCAGAGACCATAAGTCCCTCCCCTCTTGCTCTCGGGCAAAGACAGTCCGCTGGCGATCACCAAGTAAATTGTTGTTGCTTTATATTTAAAAAGAAGAACGACTCTGATTTGGAAGCTCGACATGAATTTAGTTTAAACAAATCATGTTAGGTCTGTTCTATGGGAACCATAAACTGTATACTCTACAATATATTTTTACCTTTAGGCTAACCCAATGGAAAGACCGACTTCTTTTAAGAAGTGATGGTTGATGTTTCAAGAACATTAAAAGGGCGCTTTAATCTTCTACATATAGATTCCTATATGAATCATTCTCTGTCATTAACATGCATACACACCCTCGTTAGGCTGATAAATTACTATAAAAATAATGTTCTTCCTAGCTGATACTTAACAACAAGGTTATTCTTCATTGACAATGAGCATTTTTTTATTACATGTCTGGGATGTAAACGCTAAAAATATATCACACTAGGTCAACATCTTTCAACAGAAATGAATATGAACAACATACTCTTTCCATAACATTGTTTGTTTGTTTTGGAATTTCGCGCAAAGCTACACGAGGGCTATCTGCGCTAGCCGTCCCTAATTTAGCAGTGAAAGACTAGAGGGAAAGCAGCTAGTCATCACTACCCACCGCCATCTCTTGGGATACTCTTTTACCAACGAATAGTGGGAATGATCGTCACATTATAAAGCTCCCACGGCTGAAAGGGCGAGCATATTTGGTGGACCGGGATTCGAACCCACGACCCTCAGATGGCGAGTTGAGCGCCCTAACCACCTGGCCATGCCGGGCCCCATAACATTGTAAGTCGCAACCAGTAAAATCCAGTGTGTGCAGAATTTGGACTACTTCCACATACATATACGTTCATTGCTTGTAACCATGCCAACTGATACAAGTAGAAAAAATCGAGCATCCAAGGGAGACAAAAAAAAAAGGTACAAAGGACTTTGCAAAATTTACTATACTTCTTAAAATTAGCTGTTTTTATAAAGCAGTACATTTTTCAATATTAATTTACCTATAAATAACACTGACGTGAAATAAAATATTGAAATTTTACTTCATGCATTCATATCTTCACAAATCACCACCTTCGCATTTGTTTCACAGAAAAACCAATAATTTTAAAAGTTATTTGATATAGTTAAATACAGTTAAATGATGAAATATTAATTTATCATATTAATTTCATTTAAGACCTTATCTATGCGCTAGAAAAAAACGTTCCTTTATATTAGTAAATACATTGCCGAGTAGCATATTTTGTGAGGACATATTTTTACATAATACACATTCATCATTTCTAAATGTAGAAATAAAAATGTCTCTCGCAAAATAACTGCAAGATTTCTTCCAAAAATAAAATATAAAATATTTGTATGAAAATAACAGATAAGATGACAAACACGTCGCAAAAGGTTTCTTTTTCCATCATGGTCTTGTTGTTGTCAACTATAAGCACCATATAGGCAAAAATGAATGAATTGAGAAGAATAATAGTAATAACTTGTTTAATGTTAAGCACAAAGCTACCTGTAGGATATCTGGGCTCTGCCCACGCGGTATCAAAACCCTATTGTTAGCTTTATAAGCCTCCAGGCTTACTGCTGAGCCACTAGGGGCCGTGGTAGTAGTAGTACCCTTATATGGTTCAAATTGTAAATCAGAAAATATGGATTAGAGACTGAAAATGTCAAAGTGGTTACCGTTATACAGTATAATCTACTATATGTATTTACACTGACAAAAGCAACCGTACAAGTGAGCATGTAATGCCTATGTTTGAAAACAATTTTTTTTTACTTTGTCGACCTTTTAACTTTCTAAATACCCCTACTGGTACCAATAGTACAGCACATAAAATGTGTAATAACTACTACTCACATTCATCCTTGTCATTAGCTGTAACAGTAATCACAGTATGCTGTATGTCTTCATTTTCGTTTACCTCGGCTTCGTAAAGATCCTGGTCAAAGTAAGGTGGGTTGTCGTTCTTATCTCCGATTCCAATTCGAATGTACTTAGTAACTGAGAAACATAAGAAAACTAGTTGTCAAATAAATCTTACTGAGCATCACTTTTCACACTTGAAAAATAGATATAAATATTGAATCACATTATTATAAACAAAAATATATATATGTATATATAAGTCCGAACAGACAAATTTCTAAGTGATACATTTATAAAATTAAAATGGTGTAATAACCAATGTAATATTATTTTCTAATGTTTTACATTATTTTTTGGTGTTCCATATTTCCTTGGATTACACAGAGAAACAGATTGAGCAATAGTGATTTCATATAGTGTCAATGTGTCTTTCGGTATTGTTTTTTTTCAAGTTATACAGTAGATGGGATGCTTGGTTAGAATAAACACTTGTCAAAATAAATACATAGTTAACCGCATAGGCGACAAAGATATCAAAAATTAAATGATAGGTTAAAAATTGCAAAGTTTTTTGTTTTTTTTATTTTCATTTAAAGAGGATGACGTTTCGAGTTACGCTCTTGGTCAGATCGTACAGCTTTACGATCTGACGAAGAGCGCTAGCCCGAAACGTCGTCCTCTTCAAATAAAAATTAAGAAAACCTTGGCGATTGTTTATCCTATATTTTAATTTAGAATAAACACTTGATCATACAAGGTATTTATAGGGATTTTTTTTTGGCATGAGGAACCCAAATTTCACAATCACAAAGTATCCTGCAGGTTTGTTTGTTTGTTTTTAATTATGCACAAAGCTACACAAGGGCTATCTGTATCGAAAGGGTATCGAAACCCGGTTTCTAGAGTTGTGAGTCCGCAGACATACCGCTGTGCCACTGGGAGGTCTCCTATAGGTATCCAAACTGGTCATTTTCAAAGAAAAACATCAATTTCCATTAAGAAAATTGAGTTACCATCATAACGATCTATCCGTGACTTTCGTATGAGTATTTTTGTCTTCTTTTTTTTTCATTTATCTGTAAACATCTTCACATACATATAACTCGTTTTTTGTTCCACTTATAAATAAATTATTTTTGTTACCAGCAACATAATGGCTTTTATTTTTACTTATGCCTATCTGCATTTAAGGCCCAGCATGGCCAGGTGGTTAGACCGCTCGATTCGCAATCTGAGGATCGCAGGTTCAAATTTCCGTCCCACCAAACATGCTCGCCCTTTCAGCCGTGGGGGCGTTATAATGTGACGGTCAATCCCACTATTCGTTGGTAAAAGAGTAGCCCAAGAGTTGGCGGTGGGTGGTGATGACTAACTGCCTTCCCTCTAGTCTTCAACTGCTAAATTAGGGACGGCTAGCGCAGATTGTGTAGCTTTGCGCGAAATTCTAAAACAAACAAATATGCATTTAAACTTTCAAGTGTTTTCGTGACTCTGTCAATGTGTCTTGATGCTCTTAAAATAATAACAAGCTTATTTAACTGTAGACATTATTCATATACTATTTATTTTAGTTTATAACAAGGATTTCCCTTCAGACACAAATCTGGTCCGAGCGTTGCTTAGTGGTTAGTGTCACAAAATGTGGAACCGAGATTTCGTGGTTCTCGTTCCATAACGCACTCATGCCCCCAAAATGCGGACATAAGCGCGTTACTGAATGGCAGTCAAATCCCATCATTCAGTCTGGCAAAAGTGGCTAAAGAATTGGCGGTGAGTGATATTAAATAGTTGCCTTCCCTCTAGATTATCACTTGAAAATTAGAGACGGCTAATGCAGATAGCCCTCGTGTAGCTTTGCGCAAAACCCAAGAAAACAAATAGATACAGATTTAACAATTTTCGAAATGGCACCTTTTGAAAATCGTTAAAATCATCATTAATTGTATGTAACTATATCTACAATTGTCTTTATAAAAAGCCTGTTTACTGTAACTATATCTACAATTGTCTTTATAAAAAGCCTGTTTACTGTAACTATATCTACAATTGTCTTTATAAAAAGCCTGTTTACTGTAATTATATCTACAATTGTCTTTATAAAAAGCCTGTTCACTGTAACTATATCTACAATTGTATTTATAAAAAGCATATTTGTTGTAACTATGTCTACAATTGTCTTTATAAAAAGCCTATGCTGTAACTATATCTACAATTGTCTCTATAAAAAGCCTGTTTACTGTAACTATATCTACAATTGTCTTTATAAAAAACCTATTTGCTGTAACTATATCTACAATTGTCTTTATAAAAAGCATATTTGTTGTAACTATATCTACAATTGTCTTTATAAAAATCCTATTTGCTGTAACTATATCTACAACTGTCTTTATAAAAAGCCTATTTGCTGTAACTATATCTACAATTGTCTCTATTAAAAGCCTATTTGCTGTAACTATATCTACAATTGTCTTTATAAAAAGCCTATTTGCTTTACATTTTCGTTTATGCTGAAAAACTGTTGTCGTTCAAAGCAGCATCACTGCCAAACATAATTCTTTTGTTTGTCTGTTTCTGTTTATTTAATTGTTTTCGCACAAAGCTACAAAAAGATTACCTGAGCACAGCCATCCCTAATTTTAACTGATAAAACTGGAGGAAAGCAGTTAGTCAACAGCACCCACCGCCAACTTTTGAGCTACTCTTGTCTGACCGAATAGTGGGATTAACCATCACTATTACATTGCATCAATAGCCAGAAAATGCGAAGTACGTTTCTGCGACAGCGGTATACAAACCCCAAACCCTCAAATTCACAGTTCGAGCACGCTAATCTCTTGGTCATGCTTGGCTCCTAACTATTCCTAAAAATCAGGGCTGTTTTTACTCCCAGGGTTTCTCTGGTTTCTTGTGTCACATTTACAACTAAGTCATTTTTAGAGGAGATATACACCTACTTTAGGGAGGTTTGTTCTTTTAATTTCCAATATCTTGTGAATTTAATATTTTGATAAAAGCACTCCATAAGGTGGTAGGTTTTTGTGGATACGAGTAAAATAACAAAAAGCTATTTAAACTGAATTAACGAACTATAAATTTGTTTTACCGATCTCTGGTTTACACATTACATTTTCAACACCACTATAAGTAAACGCTCCCTTCTAAGTAACTAACAAATATCCCACGATATGAAGAAAAACTCCAAAGTAACTCCTGAATAAAATAAACTGAAATTCCCCTGACTACAAAATAGCTCATGAATAAAATAAACAGGTATATTCCCGAGTAGCTAACAACTAACCCATTAACAGAATAATGAAAAATACTCCTAAAGAACTAATGAGTAGCTCATCAATTATATAAACAAAAAACACCCCAGAAGAACTAACAAATAGCTAATAAATAAAATAAATACAAATACTCTTGAGTAGCTAACAAGTAGCTCATGAATAAAGTAAACACAAATACTCTTGAGTAGCTAACAAGTAGCTCATGAATTAAATAAATAAACAGAAATACTCTTGAGTAGCTAACAAATAGTTCATGAACATACTAGATAGTAATACTCCCAAATAACTAACAAATATCTTATTAATAAAATGTTGTCGCAAATAATTCCTATGAGTAGAACACAAGACTCTTAAGGAACTCAGTTTCTTTCACTCGAAATTAATGTTTCTCAATGACTAAATATAGTATCGGATATTGTGAAAGAAAAAAAAAACAACTAAGAAAAATAATATGTTAAGAGCGTTAGCGAATGTGAATATGAAGTCCTGGGGAATCTAAACGAAAAAAGGTTAACAAACCTACAGCCATAGGGTCGTTACAGCTGGGCAAAGCCTATTAAACCCCTATGCGATCTGAGCTATTTCTTCTTTCGTGATGCTTTCTGCTCAACTAATCACCTTTTTAAACTATCGTGAAAAAATAAAACAAAGGAGGAATAAGCATGTCAAAAGATTTTGACTTGAAGTAATAGTTCAGTTTATCATAACCAAAAACTTTCGATAGTTGAAGAAAATTCTATCTGCATGTATGACAAAGCAGTGATTGTGTTTCTGAAATGTTCTAGATTCACGTGTTTAAACAACTTTACAGTGGAACGAACTATGTTGATAATAAGTAGGCCAAAAAAAACAGGTTACTTCAAGTACCAGAGATAAACAGCTTAGAACTAAAAAGCCTCCATATGATGAGGAAACTAATAAAGATATAAAGTGAGGAGAATGTGTGAAGATAAAAACTTTTGTAAAACCCTTATATGAGGTCATCTTCTTTGCGCCTGATGATGTTGCTTATCAAAAATAGTTATTCTTTGAACTCAATTGAAAAAGGTCAGTAATAATTATTATGACAAGCAGCTTATATTAAGATTTGTTTATTTTTTATTTGTTTAATTTCGCTATAAACTATACGGGGGCTATCTGCGCTAGCTGTTTCTAATTTATATGTGATAAACTAGAGTTAGTGAACAACACCCACCGCCACCTCTTGGTCTGCTCTTTACAAAAGTAAAGTAAGATCGAGCATCACATTAAAACACTCCCACGGCTGAAACGGAGAAGATTTTCGGTGATAGAATTCAATCCCTCGAGCGCAAATTGCGAATTGAACACCCTAACCACCAGGCCATGTCAAGCCTTTTATGAAGATCAAGCTTGAACTGACGTATAATGAAAGTGATGGTAGAACATTACAATTAACAAATCAATTGCACCATTTAAAACCTGAAAAGCATTTTTGTACGTTTCGCAGTTACACTCTTATTCTGCCGATGAGCGGATTCCTTACGTTATAAAGAATCACTAGTTATTTCTCCAAACAAACCTGAACTTGGTATATATCAGTATTTCTACCCGCAATCATTGAATTAAAAACAAAATAAAATGAACATGCCATATAGTTTGTTTTGATTTACTTTAAACCGAAAATGCTTGATAAGTTTTGAAATTTCTGAATATGTTTCCGTTGAATCTAGGTCCAATGAGTCATTAAACAATTATTATTCTAGGATCAACACAAGGACCGGATATTCCCCAGTTGTCTTGGCTTGCCCCATACGTCAGTTGATTCACCTGACCTGTTGCTAGGGGGCGCAACCTGTCAAAAGTAATTGATTCATTATGAAACTGTAT